CTGCCCGCCCCGAGCCGGGTCGGAGGAGCGACCGAAAGAACGGCGTCGCCGAAGGGCGCGCAGCTGGCTTGTCCGCGCTGGGTAACCGCGGGCGGCAGCGAGAGACGGCAGGGAAGCGGGGGGCGGTTGCCTTCATGAGGGACAGAGATCCCTCGGTGTAACCGGAGAGCGGGGCCCGCCGCTGCCGTGTCACGCCCTGCCCTGGGTGCGAAGGCGGCTGTGGGGGCAACGTGTTCGGCCGTCAGAAGTGCCTGAAGCTGTGGCGGTTGAGAGAATGAAGTAATTTACTGGGCAGGTGGGGTTGTGTCAGCTGCACGGTGCTGAGCCTGGAAAGTCTTGGGTTGCGCATACTGGTGCCAGCGATGTGGGAAATTTTAGGAGAGAGGTTCTGGAAACTTAATACAGGTTATTACGGCGAGTGCCAAGGTATGGCTTCTACAGTTTCTCCGGTCCCACACGCTTGCCCACTTTAGGGGAAAGAACCGGTTCTCGTGTCAGTGGAAGAGCTGCTATGTAAGGGCAAAACTCGCCATTGGCAAGGCAAAGGACAAGTTACTACCAGTGACAAAAGAAACTATAGCGTAAAGCTTTGTCAGCAGTAGCGTACCTTTTTGGGTTGTTTTAGAAAGCACTGTAGTTCACTGTCGTTCACTCCAGCCTAAATGCCTACTGGTCGCAAAGGTTCCCTATTACTGGCACAGGCCCACTACTAATGGAAACAGTACATCTGTGTAACATGCTGAAAAATAAAGCATTTCCATATTTGTCTAAAAGAAAGCATTTCCCCTATTTGTCTATTATTAAAAATAATGATGTTTTTAGCATACCAGAATGACTACCTATATTCTGATCCATTCAGAACTTAAATTGTAGACAATTATTTTTAAAGAGCTACAAATGTTTTAATTAGCCCCAATAGTTTGCAAGGCATTGGGTTGTTGTTCAGTGGAACGCTATTATTGTGATAAAACACCGTCAATACAGCATACATTACACGGATTAGGGCCGTTCAGCTGATGTATCTCAACAACAAATGGACAACGAGAAGCAGTGATCTGCTGGGCATCGGTATTTGAACTGATACTGTGCTACATTTTTAAATAGAGTTGGAAAGTAAATGACAAGCTGATGTCATTAAAGGCACCCTGTTTCGGTGTAAACAAACCCAATGCATATGTTTGGAGAACAACCAAGACTGTGTGTTCCTGTGTCCTGGAAAGCAGTAAGTCAGGAAAGCGCCCTGAAGGTCATATTAGACAAGCACTCAAACTCTGAATGTTATGGCAAATGGAGAATACTCCCAGGTGTAGCAACACGCCAAGCAAGAACTTTTGTACTGTTTCCACAAAATGCTGGTTCTTCCCTCAGCCTCAGCCCTCTCGTGTCAGTTTGCCGAAGCACCTGCAGGGGTCAGAGTACTTTTGATTCACCAGAAGTTTCCACCAAAAAACCCACTGTGATTTGGATGAGAGCAGTTTGTAAAAACATACCGTTTCCTATGAACTAGAAACACTGCCTTTTGGTCATGTCTTTTACTGACGAGGCGCATGAAGGGGTTTTACCTTCTATGTATAGCGTCGCTGAGATTGCTTTTCGAATGAGGCATGTGGTTCCTGCGGCTGTATTTTTAAAATACTATTCACAAACCTGAGACTGTGCAGAAAGGAATCACAAAAGTGATTTCAGTGCTAGAGAGGATGCTGCACAATACAATACATGATCAGAGACTTGAATTCAATAAGCTTAGTTTATCAAAAGATGAAAAGTGAACTGATTACAGTGTATTAATCCCTTCATGTGGAAAAATGAACTGGTCTATGAAAAATATGTAGGTATTTTTCCAGGACTTGTGAACATTGCCAGCATGGAAATCCCAGACATGTTGGATTGCATGCACAGGCGGTTCAATATTTCCCAGACATGCCAGACCTACCAGTCATGTACTGTACTGATGTGCAGTATACTCAATGCACAAAGAATTCATTGGACCTACTGTGCCTGTTTGCCTGTGTGGGAACGAACAAAGGAGTGCTAGAAGCAGTACAAAAACAGATGAAGAGGAAAGCTACGGGCAGCTTAGATAAGAATGTTGTAGGGCCCTGAGAAAAAGAGCAAACTTTTGAGCTGACTGCCAAATGAGAGAAGCTTCAGCTGTGAACAGGATTAGTACCTTGCTTCATACACTGCTTACCCAGTGATAGCTGCACGTAAGGGAGCAAAATACAGAAATATGTATGGAACAAGGACCAAAATTTAGGGTTCTTTTCTCCTTATGCCTTGCCCTTTAGGTACAAGTCACAAACTGCTCATGCATATGCTTGTGTTTCCCTTTTCTGGCCCCAGGAACCTAAATACTTCATTGCACGGTGGCACAGATTCTACAGGAAAGGTAGAGAATGCTTCTGCCCTAAACCTGAGAAGAGTTCATACGGACAATGAGGTACCCCTTGGAAATCAGCAAATCTGATATCCGACGACTTTACAAGGAAAGTGAATATCCCTGCTTTCCCCAGCAAGCAGCAGTGAAGGATCCTTACAGGGAAATTCACTTACCCCTGCTTCTTGCTGCCTCTTGATTTATTAAGGGGTCTACTGATCCAAATAGCTTAGGAGTAAGTAGATTCAGCTACTGAAGTGAAATCCAGCTCTTAATTTCCCCTAGAAACAGGTTAGTAAATACTGCTAAATACAACTGTGGGAGGAAGAAAAGCATTCTGATAAACAGACTGTAGCAGCTGAAATTTTCTGGGCTTGTTTTCCTGTAATGTTAGTGTTGTATCAAAGCCACATCTAGGCTGGATGAAGTTGCAGCAGTCACCGAGTGGAGCTGTATAGCTTTCCTGGTCATCACGTAATGTGGAGCTTTTTCAAAACCACACAGTGCTATGAGAAAATTACTACCCCCTTCACTAATTACTCAGTCCTGTACTCACTCTCCTTCCTACTGGTAAATCTCCCCATGTGAAAAATAGGTGTTCAGCATAAATCTCCTGATCAGTCTGATATTCACAATAATGACAACTGAAATATAGATTTCTATGACATAGGTGAAGATAACATTTATACTACCAAAAATAAAAACATCTCCCCCTCTCCCCAACGCTAAGTAAAATATCAAAATGTCTCCATTTCCATTCAAAAGATTGTTTCTACTGTGCTGATATCTACTGGTAGCTCCTTATGTATCTCTGAATTTGGGGAACATTAGTGATTTTAATACCAAAGTTGTACTTTTTTTCTTTGCAAATGTTTTGTTTCTTTTCTGTGCCTCATTGCATCTTTGTTGCACATTAAATTCCTTTTTTATTCTTTAGTCTGTTAAGATCGTTTGTGTGTCCTTTGTAGCAGTGTCTTGACATAAACTCTTTCGTAAACAGGTTATACACATGAGCAATCTCTACTCCCAGAAAAAAAAAGATCAAGATGAAACCTGCCACTAATACAAGCAGTGCTGAATTGGTCTGAAACACATGAGAATAATTTTTCTTTTCTTCACAGAGATATCATGGACTTACTACCTTAGTAGCTGCAAGGTGTTTCAAAACCCTTAAATGGAAAATGGTGGGAAATTGGGAAAGCAAATATGAGAATTCATTTTAATAGAAACAACCTTTTTAAGAATTGTTTTGAACAAGTTCATAATAAATAAATATCCCATTAGGTAGTCTCAGTTGGTTTTTTCAGCCCTATAAGCTTTTCCTCTCAGTTGAATCCCTAGCTTGGGAGAGCTCAGTAGTCCAAAATTTAAGTTTGGAATAACTACCAGGCAGAATTGTTTGTAGCTTTCTCCTAATACATCTTTGATTGCTCATATGGAACATACAAGTGAAAGGACCTCCTTTTTTAATGGCCTCAGAGCAACTGCATAAGCAATTTTA